ATGGTAACGCTGCAGTGACTGGTTGGATGGAATCAAAATAAATCACAACTATTTGGATCATTTTTCAAGCAAAACTACAAAAACATTCAGGTTCCCTGTTGTCAGATGTGAGAGTTTGCTGCTTTTCCTCATAGTAGTTTTCACAGTTTTCTGGTCGTTTATAGACCCATGGATTCATGGAGAAAATAACTGTCAGATGATAATGAGAATAATTAGCTGCAGCCCGACTGTATGGCTTTAACACACTGAACAAACGTGTTACTTTTCGTGAGGTGACTGCAGGTCAGAGAGGGGCTGCGCTCCACGACTGCTCACGCATGGCCTCCACATTTGTGTTGCACATGTGTTGAGGTTTCATTTAGAATCAAACAGGCCTCATTTGGCTGCAGCTCACAGTGAGCGAAGCCTTAGTGGAACTGAAGCTCTGATGGCTGCTGGTTAACATGTGTTTTGTGTGTGTGTGTGCGCAGGGGACACCATCGCAAGTGTGAATGAGACCAGCGTGGAGGGGTTTCAGCATAAGGACATCGTCCAGCTCATCAGGGCCTGCGGTAACGCACTCAGGTACACAGACTCATGGGTTCAAGGCAGAAATGGGCAGAAGTTTCAATAATAATCTCAGACAGTGATGTAAAGCTGCGGGAGGATGTGAGGAGCTTCTGAAGTGGAAAGAATCTGATTGATGTGGGAACAAAAAGCCAGTCTGAATGGTAACCGGGTGTTAGTGCTTATGTTCAGAAGATACAGTATGTTCAAAGGGTGTCATGGAAGTAAATTACAAGAGTGAAGAAGAGCACTGTTAGTGGCAGTCCAAATGTATTTAGGTTTTGGACAGTTGGTTGGACGAAGCGCTCAAAAGATGAAACCTCGGGTTTTTCATGGATCCAAGACAAGTCAAATAAAAATGCTGTGTGCCGTTGACGTTTCAGTACCTGTCATATTTGTCTGTGCTGGCTGAGCAGATGTGTAATTTAAAAATCACTCTTTTCCTTCTTATAAAAGTTTAAAAGGACAATTAGCGAAGTCCTGTCTGTCTGAGAGCTTTGTGAGCTGCTGCCAATAAGTGAGCGAGGTGAACCACACAGCAACGCCAGCACTGTTTAAACCGACATCATCAAATTATACAAGTCGAGTCCATATTAACCATTAAAGGGAGAACGAGCTCTATCACTGCCCCCCCACTTGTGTAAATTAAAGGATTTGCAGCACTGAAGTTGTACATGTTCCTTATCCCCCTCCTCCCCTCTTGTAAACTGTTTGACACCAGACCTGTCACACCACTGTCTTATGAAAAGAGCCTTTTGGTTTTAATCTCTCTCTTTGCCCTTTAGTTTTAATAGTGCTTCCTCTTATGCTTATTAACTTTGTGGCCTTCTGGTTTTCCTTTTGAAGGCTGGAGACAGTTTACAGCGACTCAATCCGGAAAGCGGAGCTCGAAGCCCGGCTGCAGTATCTAAAGGTGAGTGTCTCTCAGCAGTGTTTCAGTTTGTCAGCAGTGACTTAGCCTGGTTGTGTTTTCAGCAGTCTGACACAAACACACACACACACCCATACGTTATGTTACAGGCTAGATATAGACACCGTCCCCCTCCTTCCACACCTGTCTCCCCAGCAGCACCACCTGTTGCATCCAGCAGACTCACTGAGGGCTGCAGACATTCTTAACTCATGCTTGTTTCAAAAGCTGCCTGAGAAGTGGCTCAAGTGAGCCAGCGTTGCCCCAAGGTTACAGCAGCTGTCCTGCTCTAATCCTTTGTGTCTACACTGTGTTTCTTATCACAGTCATTTAACATATACACCTGCCTTCCTTTGCAGCAAACTCTTCATGAGAAATGGGATGAATATCGGTCACTGATGGTGCAGGAGCAGCGGCTTGTTCATGGTTGGTCATCCATGGCTTTTTATGTCTCACTACCTCAGTTTAGTTTACTTTAATTTCACCAGGATAATCAGATTAGTTGATCCACAGAAAATTAAGTCAACCTCACCAGCGTCTTCCAAGAGAGCTGACTGCTCATCTTGTACTGTAGTAAAAGAAATATCTTTGGGTTCTTCTTGAGACAGAACAGTACGTTTGATGACGCCACCCTAATTGAGTATAAGAGGGGGGGAATGTGACTGACAGCAGACGAAACAAACATGTAAAACTGTACATACTCCATAGGCTTGTACTTGTACCAATTTGGAAATGAGTACTATGCTGTTACTGCATGCCTGTGTCCAGTAGTGTAAAGTTAAATCAGTGGCAGTCCACTATTCTGACTCTGCCCTTCTTTCCTGCAGGCATAGTAATGAGTGACGCTGCACTATACGAATCCCTGGAGTCAGCAGGGGTGTACGGCAGCCTCGGCGCTCCCAGCCCCGCTGTGCAAAGAGCCCTCCGCGGCACCAGCAGCACCAGCAGCAGTGCCAGCTTCCTCAGCACGACCACCGAGGACGACCCTCTCTACCAGACGTGCCTGTACCAAGCAGATGGCAGCGTGGACTCGGACAACAGCAGTGCAGACAAAAAGAAAGACCAGCAGAGGCAGCAGCGTCTGCGACCGACCAGCGAGCTCTTCGCAGTGGCCAAAACACACCTGACCCGCAGCGCCAGCACACGCAGCTACACGAGGGGATCTTCGTCATCCACCTTCGGGGAGAAGCAGGGCGGAATCAACACGTTGCAGAAGAAGCCCAAACAGAAAAGCTTACGCAGACGCCTGCTCAAATTTATCCCAGGCTTGAACCGACCGCTGGAGGAGGAGGAGAGCAAACTGTGAGCTGTTCAACTAAGCTTCACAGGCAGCAGAAACAAAGACCTAAAGCACCTGTGACCATCAAACTAAACCGCCAAAGACAACAGAGCAAGCAGACCCAAAGGTTGAAGAGACTGAGACCAAAGTGTAATGGCTCCACGATTGGGCATTTGGCTACACGCAGTAGCTCTTTCACAGCTGTACATAGGTTTTGTTTTTATTTGATTTGTTCTTTAAATTATTTATTTATTTAACATGTTTGGTTTATGTACAGAATTAAGCTTTTTTTTTCAGTTTTTGCTGCATGCACGACTTTTTTCACAGCTGAATAAATGACCTATTTTGAATGTGATTATGTGACACAGCATTTTGTTTCACAATCTGCGTTAATTATTCAGACTCATCCTGTTTAATATTGTTCACAAAGTCACACTTCCTAAAATAAAATATGTGGCCTTTTCAGAATATATATACATATATATACTTGTTTTGTGTGGAAATTACAAGAAAAAGCCATTTTGTTCCACAAACTTTAGTCTCACAACTGTTTGCGGGGATTGTAACAGCCAAACTTAGATTAGCACACAGACCTCGAGCGTACACACTGTCTGTTCTCTTCCCAGTGGAGATGCAGCTGTTTCCATGCGATACTGTTAAATACCGTAAACCTTCAGCTCTTCTTACATTTAAGAATGTTATCACTCGAGTCTTGGGGGCTATTGTGTGGTTTCAGAGGGTTGGGGACTCTTTGTGGTGTGAGCTATCCAGACTGGAGGCTGTTGTATCTGCTCTGACGCGGCTTATTGTTGGGGGAATGGTGAGGAATGTGCAAAGAAAGGCATGACCCAAAATTCCAAACACAACCACTTTCTTTCAGCTCCTGCAGATGAATGCTGATTTCTCCTCAGCCACACTCCCATATTCCCATGGTGGCTTCAGTTGTCCTAGAGCTCAGTGTGTGTGTGTGTGTGTGTGTGTTGGGTGGGGGTTGGTTTGGAGTCTTTTCATTCCTGGCTCCCAGCTGACCCATGAGGTCATGGTGGTCATTCCTCTGGCTCTGTGGCGTTGGTCTCCTTTGTCTACTGATCGTTCAGACTCGTCAGGAGTGCTGATGGTGAGCAGGGCCCTCTGCACGCTGTTCTCTGACCGCTGTGATCAGGAGAAGCAAGAGGGGCAGAGTCGCTGCTGCCTGAAACAGGTTTAGGTCAGATGGGCTGAATGCATAATGAGGGGATAATTAGTCAAGATGACGGCACTAAAAACAATTCATGAAAGGGCTATTTAACAGAGAGAGGAGCCAGACAAAGAGGGTACAGTTGGTGTTCAGCAAATAACCCAGTGGGATGGTGGGATATGGGCTGACTAGTCAGTAATGCTGTTGTAAATGTCTGGATGTCATCGTACTGCCAGGACGTCACTGCTGATGTTCACAGACTGGTGAATTTGTTTCGTCTGTGCAGCAGTAGGTCTGAGTATGAACTGAAGACAGAGGTCAGCTTCTTCTTTCTTGTGCTGAATTTCCCACTTTTGAAAACACAATCACTTGCCCGGTTTTTAAATGTTACTTTCTATCACTAAAGCATTACTAGCATATATGACAGTACTTGTGCTGAAACAGGCTGGATTGGAGTTTTGATGAACTGTCAAACAAAAGGTCCAGTTTTAAAGATAAATTACACAAACAGCAAAACTACTGTGTTTTCAGATGACTTCTTACAATGAACAAAATGCCATTGTACTGGTGTTTTTAAAGAAACTACTGCTCACTGAAAGAAAAAAACACTTTTTGCACAAAACATCAAATCTTTAATTTGATAAATGGTCGGAGCTGCAAATAACTTTTTTTTTTTTTTAACAATCAATTAATAGTTTGATCTATCGAGCATCAGAAAACAGCGACTTCACCCAAAACTGCAAAATATTTCATTTTCTGTTTGTTTCTATACTTGAACAGCTTGCACTTGTGCCCGTCAGAGGTTTGACTGGTTTGTGCATGGCTGTGGATTGACCACTGGACTCGGTGACCAATCGCTGCAGCTCTAGTGGAGATCAGCCTGACAGTAAAACTGGCTTAAGGGGCCCCTTGAGCCCTTGTGCTAATCTGTCCATGCCTACATCACAGCTGCATTTCCCACTCTGCCCCATTTATTTAGTGATCACCAGGTCACTAATCCGGTGCATCTCTTAAAATCAGCATCAGAATCAAAAATGTGACTTAATATGGAGTCAAAGGTTGTGTGTCTCAGGGAACAAGCTGACACAGCAGACACAGGTCTGTCTTAAATTAGGAACAAGACTAAGAACACTATGAGCAGAAGTCTGTCATTTGACTTCTGTAAACCGCTGTCACTGTCATAGTCTTGTGAAAAGTAAGCATCATTGGATGTGAATGAAGTTGAGTGCTGCATCGTGGAACTTGTGGTCATCAGTGCAGCTGGGGATGATGAGATATGACTTTTGAAAAGAAGAAGCAGAAGGGCCCGTAGAGCACAGCTGAGCCTCTGTGGCAAAGCAACTCAGGCCAGAGCGCTGTTTCCCAAGTGCAGTGTGAGCCGCAGCCTCTCACCGACCGTTAGTGACTCTGGTTAAATTAATAGATCTGTTCCTGTTGGTTAAAGTGAGGAAGTGGCTAAATGTCTGTGTGTGCTAACGTGTACAGAATGAAACACCAGACAAAACCTCAAGTTTTACTCACAAGACATTAACATGTCTGAAGCTGAAATGTCACTCCACAGGTTTTAGCATCAAAACGTTTGGGTGGATGATATAGTGTGCATGGGCTGTCAAGACAGGATGTGGGTGATCAGTGTGCCTGGAAACTCAACATAAAGATAAGACGCTGCCTGCACGGTTTTAAAAAAGGCAGGATTATGTGCATGTGGTTATTTGCATAGGCGTCAGTCGTTGTGGCAGTTTAACAGAGAGCGAGGTTATGTAAAGTCCAATACAGTGAGCAAGCAGCAGACTGGACACCTGCTTCAGGAGGGCACAGGTGTGACATAAAAAGACGTTAGGGTCAGAAGTTTCAAATGAAAGCTAAACATGCAGCCTGACTCGGTGAATCAGCCTCATTGGCAACAGTCAGCCTGAATAAATGCAAAGTGATGTGTGCTTTTCATAAGCCTTATCTGAGATAAAGGCTCTGCATTTGGTTTCCCAGTAACAGCAGTGAAACTGATATCTTACAGGTTATACCGTCTCTTTGTGTCTCTGGAGCTGATACTCAGAATTTCCACCCAACAGCTTGTTAATGAATAGTCAGAGCCTCTTATTTAGGACCTGGAGGGATGTGTGTTTTATCAACCCCTTGATATAGTCCATATAATGGTTTCTAATTTTTCACATAACTGTCCTTATCTAAACATGAAGCAAGCCGCATGCTAGGCTGTTGAGAAAGCCTCCGACCTGAGGCTGCATTACTAGTGAGCTTTCACTTTGGTTCGCTCAGTGATTCTGGAGTTGACCCACACCAGTGACTAAAGGTCAGAATATGTCAGCTTCGTTTGGTAGGTGACGATCACTGTATGATTTACTGCAGTAGAAGAGGGAAGTCAGGAACAGAGACCTCAAGTGACTTCACTCTTCACCCACTCACACATCCTAAGCAACACTAAAGTGACTTCACTCTTCACCCACTCACACATCCTAAGCAACACTATATACTTATTTCCTCTGAGAGTGACAGGTGTTAAAGTCTGTGTTTGCTTTGCTGCTCATATGTCAGGTGGTCATGACCATTTAGCTTTAATGAACACAATAGCTACATGTGTCTAAACTCAGAGCAAACTTAGGGGTGAAAGAATGATTCATTCACAGATTCACTGGTAATAAAACAGCCTGAAGAGGTGCACTGTTAAGGCAGCACACATGTGGTTTTGTGTTACTTCAACACAGTCTTTTCTGTCCTGCTTGCAGCAGCATGAGGATGGTTAAATCTGCATTAATCACTTGCAGGTCTTTTCCTGGCTCTGGGTATCTGAGAGGGTTTTCATGATGTGAAACATAAAGTGTGGGTGTCTGTGTATAGATGGCAAACAACAGGTCTTAGCTTGACTTTCAGTTAGGCTATTAATAAACAAGTTCCTCTTTTTCATGGGTTTATGATGCCTGATGACATGAAATCAGATAAAGAACCACCTGCCGTTTTGTCGCTTCCGCCATTTCTCACACTGACACGCATGGAAGACATTAAGAAAACCCAACTCAACTGTTGTTGATCAGTGTTTAGATTTCCACTCAGTTGTTTAACAAATCTTACAAAACTAGCCAGTTAGAGCAAACGGGTTTTATTAATAATCAATCTATGCTTCTGCTTCCTCCTCCTTATATTGCAGCCATATGCTAAAATCATTTGTTCATTTTTTTCCTCAATGTACACGCAGCACCCCATATTGACAGAAAAACACAGAATTGGACATTTTAGCAGATTTATTAAAAAAGAAAAACTGAAATATCACATGGTCATAAGTATTCAGACCCTTTTCTCAGTATTTAGTAGAAGCACCCTTTTGAGCTAATACAGCCATGAGTCTTTTTGGGAATGATGCAACAAGTTTTTCACACCTGCATTTGGGGATCCTCTGCCATTCCTCCTTGCAGATCCTCTCCAGTGCTGTCAGGTTGGATGGTAAACGTTGGTGGACAGCCATTTTCAGGTCTCTCCAGAGATGCTCAATGGGTTTTAAGTCAGGGCTCTGGCTGGCCCATTCAAGAACAGTCACGGAGTTGTTGTGAAACACTCCCATAGCATGATGCTGCCACCACCATGCTTCACTGTTGGGACTGTATTGGACAGGTGATGAGCAGTGCCTGGTTTTCTCCACACATACCGCTTAGAATTAAGGCCAAAAAGTTCTATCTTGGTCTCATCAGACCAGAGAATCTTATTTCTCACCAGCTTGGAGTCCTTCAGGTGTTTTTTAGCAAACTCCATGCAGGCTTTCATGTGTCTTGCACGGAGGAGAGGCTTCCGTCGGGCCACTCTGCCATAAAGCCCCGACTGGTGGAGGGCTGCAGTGATGGTTGACTTTCTACAACTTTCTCCCATCTCCCGACTGCATCTCTGGAGCTCAGCCACAGTCATCTTTGGGTTCTTCTGTAGACAGGTGGGTGGCTTTCCTAATCACGGTCAATCAGTATAATCAAACACAGCTGGACTCAAATGAAGGTGTAGAACCATCTCAGGGATGATCAGAAGAAATGGACAGCACCTAAGTTAAATATATGAGTGTCACAGCAAAGGGTCTGAATACTTATGACCATGTGATATTTCAGTTTTTCTTTTTTAATAAATCTGCTAAAGTGTCAAACATTCAGTGTTTTTCTGTCAATATGGGGTGCTGTGTGTACATT